CTGCCCAATCAAGAGCAGCCTGTGCGAAAAAGGCAGTCATGTGGGAGGATCGTGCGTGCCGATCCAGCAAGAAAGCTGCCAAAAGTTTCACCTTGTATCAGAATGCGAATAAAATCGCAATCATGGGGAACATTTGTAAGAATCTCCTCTGTCCGGAACTGGAGCGGACAAGTCTCTTGGCTGTAGCGCAATAATTGCGCAACAGAGGGCAACTCCAAGTGGACGCTTGTCCGAAACTGTACGCAATGTGGCAGCAAGTTGTTGTCGAAATGGCTGAAGATTGCTCGGACGTTCGGCTTCTACGACGAATTCAAAAAGGTCACCGACAAGCAACAGCAACCCTAACCTAACTGGACTTCCTGAGAGTGCCTTGTAGCACGAGCAACCCGCAATCTTTCGTTGTGCACTTGACTGTAAAAGACGGCCACGCTAAGGTGGTTGGTTCGGGAACTTCTTGCTTGACAATTCTACAAGAGCTGGCCACGCTGAGGCTCAGCGACAAGAAGATCAACTGTCAGTGGGTGTTCGTCCCCGAAGTAACGCATAATTTTCCCTACATCGCCAGAGCCAGTTTGCTGGAATAGAACGACAAGGCCGACTTGGCCACCAAGTGGGGAAGTGGGGCAGGATGCAACACGATCGTGATGCAAGGACCAGAACTCAAAACCATGCATCTGTGCTGTCAAGCCGCTGCTTTGCGTTGCACAGCTGGGCCCAGCAGACACAAAACTTCTTGCATGCAATTGTCCTCTACGCATTTTGACGCACGGCCAAAAAGAGCGTGCAAGCCAACAACAGGGAATGAATGGACCAGCGTGTCACTGGGCACGCCGTGTTGCAGCACCGAGTCTTAATGTGTGAGCGCTTATTCCTTTTTGATCGTCGCAACAGCTTGGCGAGCATGCTTTAGTCAGCATGATTGAATTACCTGCGGAAAGAGTCTTTCTGAAACACTTTGAACTTTCAGAACCGGACGGCATGTCTTATGCTTCTGCGGGCTTTGTCTAAAGCTGCACCACCTTGCGCAGATTGCCACCAGAAAGTTGTTTAGGGATGCAAGAGGTATTTTGGGACACCTAAGTTTTACTTCTGTTAAAGTGCAGCTCAAAATTGGTTAGCGGCCGTTTTCAAGTAAAAACGCTGCGTGTGTCCACGATAGTCTCGGTATGAGTGGTGGGTGACAAAAAGGCGTGGTTTTGAAGCTCGGGTTCTTAGGTCAGGTTTTTGGAGTTTTGTCAAGAAGATTCTTAACGCGCGTCAAAACTGGACAACAAGATTCTTGTTTTGCAGGGAGTGGGGATCTTGCAGAGCGCGACTTCCGCGCCCCACCAACTGAGGGCGTTTTTATGATTCCTGTGGCCCTTCTGCGGGAATCGGCGTTTCGACTTGTCGCCGACCCTTTGAGGGGGTTGCGAAGGGGTCTTTACGTCAATTTAAACAAACAAAACCCTGAGCAGCGGGTTTTAGGCGCAGATAAAAAGGCGGGCTGCCCTGGCTCTGGCTTGTGGAACTGGTTGTTGCAACGCTTGGTGGGCTGAATGGACCGCTTTCCGACTTGTCAATGGGCGTGAGGCTTGGCCGGCTGATGTGAGTTTGTGTTTCAAGCCAGGCCGAGAAAAGTTACAACTTTAGTAACGTTCAAAAAGCGTTGGCCATCTGCGATGCCTTCGTAAAGGAGAGAAGGCAACAGAACACATGTTTGAGCTTCATTAAGCCTGTTTGCGCATCATGCAAGCCGTTGGCTTCTTCTTTTTCTTCATTTCGCCTAGCGTTTTCAAAGACATTTTAGTGCTAAGCCTTCCCGTTGGCAATAACTTTGTTTCACATCATCTTGCAACTTTTTTTACATGTGGTAGGAGATGCAAGTGTCTCGGGGAAATTACTGGGACAAAGGAGCAATTGGTCCAAAAGCATCCCTGGCCTTCGCAACGCAAATTACAAGCCCCGTAAGAATTAGAACGTTCCACATGACAACCTAAAGAATCTGCAGCAAGTAGACTTTGCGTAGACTGTGCAGTGTTGCGCTACAAGATGTAAAGAGCCCTCAGTTTTTGCATAGCCCACCCCCGCCCTGCTCCGCGGACAGCATAACCTGAAAAGTCCAATTTTTGTACATCGATTTTATCGATTTTCGCGGAGGCTCACGGACCGCGCCTACCTTTGGAGCAATACGGAAGCAATTGGAAGGCAATAAAAGTCCGACATCGTGTTTTGGCAAAAAGGTGAAAAACAACTTCTAGGCTTTCGATGCGTTACTGATTTCTGTGGGTACAAATAGAAGATTCGTTGCCTTGATTTTGCTGCTAGTGTCGAGGAGTTTCTTGCTCGACTTAGTTATGATGCGGGTTGCTCAATCCCTCTTCTGCCGAATATTTTTGGTTTGTTGTTTTGTGTTGTGTTGGTTTTGTCTGGTTTGTTTCGCTTTTCTTCAATTGGGTCAGTTTCGGCGTCGAGTCTATCTTTGGTGGGCAACGCTTTGCCACCCAACCCGGCTGACCGAGCATTTTTCGAAAAACAGAATGCTGCCGCTGCTTTTCTTTTGGGGTCAGTTTTAGCTTGGAGCATGTTGGGGGCTCAATTTATTATTTACACCGTTTCATATTTTTCTTGGAGCGGCCACTTGCAAGATCTGCAGGTAGATTGATTTCAACAGTGTGGCAACAAAAGGTGCAGTCTTGGAGAAAGCGTTTGTGGCAGAAGTGCCGCAATTCACTTGCGGTCAATTGCGATCACGCAAATGAAACGCAAGCTGAAAAATGCAACCAAACAGAAAAGCAAAACCGCAACACAATACAAAACCAAGTCCGCGCGATTGTTTGGGCATGAGTTGTGTGGTGGTTGCGAAGGGTTAGGTATCTTAGGTCAATCAAGGTTAAGTTTGTAGAGAGAAAGTTTTAGCGCGCTCGGTAACAAATCTTCTAGCTATGGGGACCGCGGATCAACCCTGCGTGCGGGGACCGGCGTTGTTGATGTTTTTCACCTTTTCAGTTATGGTCTGCGCGTGAGGACTGGGGTGGTCGGCATCAAAACACTCACAACTTTTAAAATCTCTGCTGAGTAACCTTTGGCAAAGATCAGTTCAACAGCAGAATATTTTGTTTCTGCGGCCGGAAGAACCCGTCGCGGGGACGATTGCCTGTCGAATAGATCTTGTCGTGATCCCACGCGAGTTTAGCTGCTTTTGCTCCTGGTGAGATGACCCTTGGAAGTTGTTTTGTGGTTTGCGTGAGTGTTCTCGTAATCGCGCGGTTGCAGGTTCGATCCTTGCTTGGTCCGCGGAAAATTGCAACTTGCGCACAGAAATTTGCGCGGCGGCGCGGCGCACTCGCGGAGAGCGACACGCAACCTTGTTCAATTCAACTTGGCCAGGGCAATGTGCGCTGAGGTATCGGCGCAGGGCCAACCGTGTGTGCAGAGCAACTTGCACAAAGCACAAACGCGCAGACAGTGTCGCATTAACAACAACTTGCGCAAAACACCTGGCGCAGAGCACTCGCACAGAGCTACATTTTGTTTTTTTGGGGGGGGGCGTGCTATTATTGCGGCAATTTTAAAGATATTGATGTGATTGAAAATGTTGGCCGGTCATGCATTTTTATGGCTTCGCAATTGTGTATAGGCCTGAAAGAGCTCACCTTTTCTTTGTTGTACGACCATGCATGTGTGTTGAAATGTGAAAACGTACAGCACTTTGTGCATGCTAGTGCTGCTGAAACGAATGCCTTTTTTTGTTTCTTGGCATCCGTGTTTGTGCTTTCTCCATTCAGCAACTCCAGTGCGGGTAGGTTCAGGTAGCTTTGCCCGGTTTACGTTTGAACTGTGGAGGGGGTAAACTGCTTTGCCGGTTTGTTTGTTCTTTCCCGTTCGTGGCTGTAACCCCTTTGGTTGAAAGGGGATGTCAAGCGGCAACCTGGTGATCCGAACGCCTATAAACTGAGCGCAGGGAAAACATGCACACGCACACACACACACAAACAGCAGACACACACATGTGTGTCAAACATTCTTGTGCCAGAGAGTGTTGATTCTGCTTCTATCATTAAGGAACGTAACATGTTTGCAATTTGACTAGTGTTTAAGGCTCAGTTGGGTTTGCCTGCTCAAAAGAAGGTGATCCGAGGTGAACACGGCGAGCGGCGAGTCCGTTGTGTTGAGGTTGGGCGTCGTTGCTGTTGGTGTGCTTGAAGTATTAAACTGAGTGCTTATCTAGATATAGCCACAGACAATGTAAGTTTTGCCTTGGCAGCCTGTCAGTTTTGACAGAACCATGCTTTGAAAAAACATCCTTGCCGGCGCGCTTATGCAAGCAGATGGCATTCGCGAACCGAGGCGTTGGCGGTGTCTGACTGCGCTGGATTGTTGCCGAGGATGAATCGTTGCCAATCGCAAACAAGTGCATGTAAGAACTCATTGATAGTGAAAAGGATGTCCAGAAGGGTTTCCGATGGGTGCTGTCCCCTTGCGCTGATACCTGTTTGCTTCTGTTGGTATCTTAGCTTTGTCTCCCAGTTTTCCTCACTTTTTTTAGCTTGTTTGCCGTCCTTTCTTGCATGCATGGCCACATGATGAAATGAAATGATGCTCAAACACGCATCATACGATTGTGCAAATGTATTTCCGAGAAACCAAGGAAGCTTGGTTTGCAGATTGAAACGCAGGCATCATGCTCAACTGGGCCAGTGGGCCAAACCACTCTTCAAACTATCATTCGGAAAGGTGTCGACATTGCCCCAACGACCCAACAGCAAGCCACCAATAAAGAGAAACGGTACAGGCAGACCAACTGCCTTGACAGAGTGAAAGCAACACACGCTGTGTGATCCG